CACATCCTACTAGAACCTTTGGGACACAGCAAAAGCAGTGCTCAGCGGTCAGTTTATAGAAATAAATGCACACATCCAAAAAGAAGAAAGGGCCAAAATCAAAACATTAACCCTACAACTCAAACAAGTAGAAAGAGAGCAGCAAAAGAAGCCCTCCGGTGCCAGAAGAAAGGAAATAATAAGAATTAGAGCTGAATTAAATGAAATAGAGAATAGAAAAACAACTGAAAGAGTTAATAAGACCAAAAGCTGGTTCTTTGAAAAGATCAACAAAATTGATAAACCGTTGGCTAAACTGACCAAAAAAAACAGGAGAGGAAGCAAATAATCCATATAAGAAATGAGATGGATGCTATCACAAGAGACTCAACTTAAAAGAATCGTAACAATACTGTGAAAAATTGTACTCTAACAAATATGAAAACCTAGAGGAAGTGGACAGATTTCTAGAAATTCACTACCTACCTAAACTAACACATACAGAGGTAGAACAACTAAATAAATAAATAAATAAACTTATAACAAAAGAAGAGATTGAATAGGTAACTAAAACACTCCCAACAAAAAAAAAGCCCTGGCCCGGATGGTTTCACCAGAGAATTCTACCCAACTTTCAGAGAAGAGTTAACACCACTACTACTAACGATATTTCAGAGCTTAGAAAAGGATGGAGTACCCCCATACTCCTTCTATGAAGCGAGCATAACCCTGATACGAAAACCAGGGAAAGACACCACAAAAAAAAGAAAATTGCAAACCATTATCCCTCGTGAACACGGATGCAAAAATCCTCAACGAAATTCTAGCCAATAGAATTCAGCAACATATCAAAAAAATAATTCACCATGACCAAGTGGGATTCATACCAGCTGTGCAGGGATGGTTCAACATTACAAAAACAATCAATGTAATCCATCACATAAATAAAACAAAAGACAAGAACCACGTGATCTTATCAATTGATGCAGAAAAGGTATTGACAAAGTCCATCATCCATTCATGATAAAAACTCTCAACAAAATAGGAATAGAAGGGAATTTCCTCAACACAATTAAGGGCATTTATAAGAAGCCAACAGGCAACATCATCCTCCATGGAGAGACTTTGAAAGCATTCGGCTTGAGAACGGGAACCGGACAAGGATGCCCTTTATCACCACTCTTTTTCAACATTGTGCTGTAGGTCCTAGGCAGAGCAATTATGCTAGAAGAAGAAATAAAGGGCATCCAAATTGGTAGGGAAGAAGTCAAAGTATCTTTTTGCAGTTGATATGCTCTTAAACACAGAAAACCTCAAAGAATCCACAAGAAAACTACTGAAACTAATAGAAGATTTCAGCAAAGTATCAGGATACAAGATAATAATACGAAAATCAGTTGGATTCCTCTGCACTAACAAAGAGAACTTTGAAGAGGAAATCAACAAATCAATACCATTTAAAATAGCCCCCAGGAAGATAAAATACTTAGGAATAAATCTAACCAGAGACGAAAAAGACCTATACAGAGAAAACTACAAGACGCTACTACAAGAAATCAAAAGAGACCTGCATAAGTGGAAAAACGTACTTTGCTCATGGATAGGAAGACTCAACATTGTGAAAATGTCAAGTCTAGCCAAAGCGGTCTACAGATACAATGCCATCCCGATCCAAATTCCACCGGCGTTTTGTAATGAGATGGAGAAACAAATCACCAACTTCATATGGAAAGGGAAGAAGTCTCGGATAAGTAAAGCATTACTCAAGATCAAGAACAAAGTGGGAGGCCTCACACTACCTGATTTTAGAACCTATTATACTCCCACTTAGTCAAAACAGACTGGTACTCGTACAACAACAGATACATAGACCAATGAAACAGGATTGAGAATCCAGACATAAATTCATCCACTTATGAGTGACTGATACTTGACAAAGGCCCGAAGTCCATTAATTGGGGAAAAGACAGTCTCTGTAACAAATGATACTGGCATAACTGGATATCCATCTGCAAAAAACTGAAACAAGACCCATACCTCACACCATGCACAAAATCTAATTCAAAAGGGATCAAAGACCTAAATATAGAATCTAAAATGTTAAAGATCATGGAATAAAAGATAAGGATAATGCTAGGAGCCCTAATTCATGGCATAAACAGAATATGAACAATAAGTACCAATGCACAAACACCAGAAGAGAAACTAGATAACTGGGAGCTCCTAAAAATGAAACACTTACGCTCATCAAACGACTTCACCAAAAGAGTAAAAAGAGAACCTACAGACTAGAAAAAAAATTTTAACTATGACAAGTCTCATCAGTGTCTAATCTGTAAAATCTACAAGATACTGTAAAACCTCAACCACAAGAAGGCAAATAACCCAATTAAAAAATGGGCAAAGGATATGAACAGGC